CCCATGACCTAGTCTCCGACTGCGATGTCGCAAATATCACGTTCGATAGTTCAATGATCCTGTTGAATTGTTTTAACTGAAGTAGACAGAGAGATGTAAAAATATTGTTAACGAGTTTATTATTTCCACACGTGCGCACCAGAGTAGCACAGACGTTTAGCTGTTAGCTCGCAGCGCCGGCCGCCCCGCGCAGCCGAACGCTCTAGTCAAAACATCCTGCTGTCTTAGTTCATCTTTGTAATCAGATCTATGGTGAAAATGTTTAAAAACAAACTTTGCCTTCTGATGTTGAACGACAATGTAACTGATTTTGTGATATATACTTGATTGAATTTTACACTAAAATTTTGATAATTGCTTTTGATTAAAAAGTAAAAATGCTTATGAGAACAGACTTAACTCACTTTTTTTCACAAGAAGTAGCGAGTGCGCGTCGCCCGCTGCCCAGCGCCGCGCAAAGGACAGTGAAGTGCGCGGGAAAGTGCGACATGTCAGTGATTTTTGTAGACAGCATCGTAGGGAAAGGGACCACCAAGAAACTTGAAAAAATGTGATTTTGTGGGGAAAGGAAAGAAAAAAATTTAGTGTTCGAGTGAAGACAGGACTTCCAAGTTTTATTGCAAAGAAACATCAACATAAAAGAAAATTTCTCTTGAAACAACTATGCAAACGATTGTCAAATCGTATGAATTGCGTGCAGACGGCTGGATCATGTGACAGCTGGCAGCCCAGAGTTCAGTTTTTCTCTCAATGTCAACACACAACTCCATAGCAAAACAACACGGCGAATACAGTTTACAGAGCTAACCAGCAAACTACTTCTACTACTACTTACTTCAGCTCCATGCAAATTCTGTGTCTTTGGTTGTCCAGTTCTTCCTCCCTCCCGCTGTAACATCCTCCAACTGCAGGTCTCTGTCGGGGCAGGCGGCCCTGACGCTGGGTGACCGCAACCGCACGCAGTCAGGCAGTTGTCAGTCAGTCAGTGACCGGCCGGGTCCCGGCCCGCGCCGAGCCCCTGCCACGGATCGACTAGAGAAAGCTAGGGAAATATACATAGATTCTATAAGTAATATATGAAGAAAAACTAGATTCGAAAAGCATGTGACCTAAGATGGTGGTAAGGGAGAAGATAAAGCATAAAACCAAAGTGTCCTTTAAGTTCCGGATTGCTGGGTGAGCCTCTATTTACTTGGAAAAGGCGGCCCAGCAGTTTTGGTATCTAGTCATCACTAAACAAACCTCTTTGTCAGCAAGCAGAAGGAATAATAATATTATTAATTAATAACAAATAATCCAATCTTGTCTCACACATACAACATAATCAATATCGATCGAGGGCCGAGTCGTTGATCAGAGTATCGCAAACTCCTTAGTTTCTTTGAAGCTCCGTTGCCTGTCTGAGAAGAATCGCGCAAGCCGAGCTGAGCTGAGCGAGTCGAGCTGAGCCCAGCTGAGCCGCGCTGGCCTGTACCGGTCCGAGCAGGCCCGAGCCGCGCCGGCTGCAGTGTTTCATCAACCAACGCCCACCACTCCCCGACCCCCTCCCCAACACCGGCCGGGCCCCCGGACCCCCCGGGGCCCCGGCGTGCCCTGGCGGGGCGTGCGCGACCCGCCCCGCCCCGCCGTCACATTGTATTTAACGCTTTTGCAAAACGTTGCCAGTGCGTCTGCTGGATTTCAGTTCTGTTTATTCTTTCCATAGAAACTGACATTGTTGACTCCTATGTGATTGTTGCCCTGTAGTTTTTACCGTTCTCCGGTGGTTGTTGTAGCATTTGACAGGGAGCTAACCCTTACTAAGGTGGTGGTGGCGGTGAGGAATGTTTTTCTGTTGGTTTTCTCAAACCTTTGTACGTCGACCTAAGTTTGTACTTGCTTTAAAACGCCTTCCTTTGCGTTCCGACCGTGGTTCCCAGTGTACTGCCTTCCCTGGCTTCTGCTCCTTAAGCACACGGGCTATTTGGACTTCCTTCTCTCCTTGGTTTTTAAGGGTGCTATTGTTTTGGAGAACCCCTTCCGTTATAAGATCATGTAGCGATACTTAGAAAAACAGATTTGGCAACGTTACTACCTATGTTTCAGTATTGTTTACAAGAGCAAAATCAAGGTCTTGGCAAAGTTTAGGATCCCTGTTCAAAACCTTATCACGGAAAAGTACAAGCTTATTTCAAGCACCTTTGCGCCTTAACTTTATGATAAAAAAATTGAGCAAAAATGAAATTGTGTGTAATTTTTACCAAAATCTGCCTTACATTCTATTTTCTTAAAAAGAAGTACCTAGTGCGATGATTTGCTGTAGAAGAAAACCATTTCTCACATGTCTGGGCATTTGGTCATTACATATTTGTTTGTAGCAAGCACTACTACTACTACTGTATCACTGGCAACTACCCCAAGGGTTGCTTCCCACCATTAACCGTTTGTTCGTTCGTTCGTTCGTTCGTTATACATACAGGCTGTTTCAGAATCTTCTAGTCCAATACGCAACATAGTCATTCTTTTGAGTGTGAGATGTAGTATATGTAAAACTGTTGGTAACCTTGTGCGTGATGGGATGCATCCTTCAAGTTTTATGAGTTCAAGGTCAGAACCTTGACCTGCAAGTTTACTTATTAAGTTTGAATTTTAATCATGGGATTATAGAAAAATATGTGGTGCAACGCAAAGTTGTGTATATATATAAATATAAATATGCTGTTTGGAAACGAGGTCTTACACAAAATCGAGAGAACAATATGTTTTGCGTTCTGTAACATTCCAATGCTTATGTTATTCGAAACACGGCGCGAATCCACCTGCGAGTGGAGCCGCTCTGTTCTGCTTTGTTTCTGTCCAGACTTGTTGAGGGTCTTCTAGTGGAAGTCTCGTGAAGTGTTCTCAATTTTGAAATAGCATTTTTGACACGGAACCACACTCACAATACAGCTCTCGCAATAGTCTGAAGGCAACTAAACAATTCTCTGATATTACAGATCAATCAAATCTAGGCATTCCACTCAAACAAGCATCGCACACAGGGCCAACTCGTCCGATCTAAAGTGCCTTCAAAATGTTAATTTTTTAGAAAAAAAACAAAAGGGCCCTAAATAGACCATTCTCGCCCCACCAAAACACTTCGCAGGACTTCCACTAAAGTACCCTCTTTTACTATAATTTTAGAAGGACCCAAAATGCGAACACTCCAGTTATTAAGATTGTTATGCTGAAAATCCAAGATAATTCCGTTTTACTGGTATTTTACACAAAGTACCAAATATTTAATTTATTGGTTCTTATTTAAAACATTGTATTTACAAAGGTTTCATATGTCATGCATGTAAGAAACCGTATATCCATGGATAGCATTACTCTAGTTTGTAGGAATACATGATTATAATGATAATAATTACTCAATGGTTTTATTTTCTTCTTCCCGACCTCACGGTCCGGGGCGGCGCGCGGCGGGCGGCGAGCGACGTGGACGGGCACCGCGCCGTCGACGTCCCCCTGCCCGCCGCGCCCGCGCCCGCTCCGCCCACCCACGCCCCGCGCAGCTCGCGCTCCGCTGGCCTGCCCGCGCCGGACGCCGCGCCATGCCTTATTTTTGAATGGCGCTGCGACCTGGAGACAAAGTTTTAATAACCGCATTCATAGTATTTTTACACTAGAATATATTTAAAAGTTCGATGTAGTTGATTTAGCTGTACGAGATATAAGGGATAACGAATCGGTAGGCGGAGTAGATAAAGAGAGGGAGAGTGCGAGAGAGTAAAGCTTTGCCAGGGAGCGCCGTCGAGAGACGAATGGCGTGGGCGTCCGGGGACGGAGCGGGCAGCCGGCGCGAGCCCGTGCTCCGTTCCCTCGCGTTGAGGGGCGTGGCGTGCGCCGCCGGAGCGGCCCCGCGGCCCCGCGGCCCCGCGCTGCTCCCGGCGCGAGGGCGCGAGGGCGCGGCTCACAGCCACAGCGCGCCCTCTTCTCACCCCCGAGCGTGTCGGGCCACGCGCGAACCGCAGAGCCACAGGATCTGCTTCTCTTCGAAACGGCGTGCCGTTTGTTCACATTACTTGTTGTTCTAGAAGTTTGACATGTTCAATGTTAACCACATAATGGTAAAACAGACTATCACTTTCAGGTACCAAGAATTTTTTTGTTTGAAAATTTGTGTTCGTCTAATGCAGATTAAAAGTATACTTAAAAGCGTGGAAAATTGTTGGTGAAACGGATGTGTTTAACTTTATAATTATAACAATAAAGCTTTGCATTGATTTCCCTGCATTTTTCCATGAACTTAAATCTCACATACATCACTCGCTCGCGCGCAGTCCGGCGTGTCCTGGCCCGCTCCCTCCCAGTCGTTGGTCCGAACCGCCCCCGCGCGCGCCCCGCAGGCAGCCGTGAGGCAAGGGTGCACGCCCATCCCCACTGCGTCCTCGCGCTTCCTCGAAAAGCTCGTTTTCAGCGCTTCCGGCCTCCTTTGCCGACCCATCGACCTGCTCTTTGTCCCTGTGTATTGGAAGGTAAGTGGATGGAAGAATCGCGATGCTCCCACATAATTATTACTAATACCAGGGGCCAGGTAATGTATGAAGTAGTATTAAGAAATCAAGGGTTACACAATATAAAGTCGGTTCATGAAATTAAAATCCATGCAAAAATTAAATGACAAGGTAGTAACTTTAATCATAACAGTTTTAATTCAGCATAATGCTTTTCGGTATACCATTCGTGATATTTTGTTTTCTAATGCCCTGAATATCATAAACCTTACACCATTTCTTCTTATCATGGAACCAATTTGTTTACGGATTTTTGTAATTTCCCTGTCACACAGTTGATCATCAACTTTCTATGAAAAACGTTGAAAAAATAATTCCTATGATTGAAGGGCGAGAAAATACCTATCATGGTTCATAATATGAGCGTTTAGGGTTGCATCCCAGAACACTGCTTCTATTTTTTGTGTCTGCAGTACGGAGAATTACAATATTATTCACAAAATATTTTCACCATAATACTCGTTAGCTCCATGTAGTCTACTAGTACAGTCATATTTTAAAATACGATGATTCATACTTCTGAAATATTGTTAAACAGTAGTAAATAGTTAAAAGCAGTTTACTCAACGAAGGTGAATTTCATAAAAGAATGGAGATGAATTTTCAATGTGATAATAAATCAACGCATATACGTACATTGAAATGCCGATACAAAAACACCGGAGGTGGAGAACTCCGGAATAAACAAACAAAACAAACGAATTGTTTGAAATAATACCAATGGGAATTTCCATTTCATGTAAATGCTAATGTGTTCGCATCGAATTATGATTTTACCAAAATAAGACAACATCCAGGGATTGTCAGGGAGTGTAGGTCATAACTCATTATTACAATCGCTTACCTAAATAGACCCAACGTTATATAACTGAAATAGAGTTCTCGTGTAATATCCACACCAATATTTCAATATATTCAGAAGGATTTTTACAGCCACACTTGTAACAAATTTGTAAGAAATTTACTTCACGTGTTCCATAGCACGACACATAGAAGAGTGATACAACTAAAAATAGGATATTTTGAGTAAATTTCAGTCGAAAATATGGAATTATTCAAATTAGTAGAACATGTTCGTTACATAGAAATCATTAATCAAGAATGTAATGTATTGGTGATGCGGTAAATTACTACAACGTACTAGTTTTTGAGTTGTTGCAGTTTTCTTCTATGCGATGTGCAATATTTATTCTACTGACTGTAGAATACTATCTTCTGCATTATTTACAATGAAAATATATGGCTAATTGAGTTTATTGTTTAATCTTCACTTACGTAATAGAGAGAGATATAACACCCGTTTGTGTTTGTTTTCTTTATAAGTTTCGTTTCTTTTCTTTTGAATTAAATCAATAAAATTTAAAAAAAAACATATGCAATTCGAATGTATTGAACATTGGGTCATAGTTTTTTATCTTTTTATTCAATGCACGGTTAGTTCGTGAGACGAGAGTATTCAATGAAATTTTTGTATGTAAGTAAATAATAAATAACACTTGACTCGCGTTCTCAAACCACAGAGTTCATAAACAGAGTTGCTATATCACGATGTAATATATTTTTAAGGAAGTTTTTAAACTACTAAGTCATGCAAAATGGCGACCACTTTGATAGTTTTGCATTGGCGTAACTGTAGAGAGAACATAACACGTATGGACAACACAAGCACCCAAACATGCCTGAGGCTTGAATCGAGCCCGCTATCCTTCGAGCCGAGACAACTACGGCCATACAGCCTTCGCAACCTCAGCTATCCAGGTAGGCAACCAAATACATTAGTCCCAATGAGAAGATACAAATATAAGAATTGTAAGTCTCTTAGATATATAGTTTATCTAAACAGTAGGTGAAACATTACATTATCAATACCTCAGTAAAACTGTTATGTACATCGTTAATTCTCCAAGTTCATCTCAGATTTGAATTAGATATTATACACGATTAGCACCTTTGTTGAAACTATCTTCAAAGAATTCTCTCTAAAGGTATTCGTCTTTTTGGTGAACTACGCTCTTCTGTTATCTGTCACTAGTTAACAAAAACAATAATGATCTAAGCTAAAATCAATAGGTTCAGTGCAAAAGAGGTAAATAATGAGAGAAGTAGTCTGCGCGTTCGTCTAAAAACTCAACATGTACGACATTGTGAATGCTGTCGATGGTCCCACTTCTCTAAACTTTTTCTAATTCAATGTGTTTTAGGGCTAACTTTCCCTCATTCCTATTGTTAATATTACTCCTTTTAGAAGCTCATCTCTAACCATGGAGTTCACGTAAGTGAATAATTAAATAAAACAAACGCATGATGAATTGTATTACTCACACCTCCTGAAAGACGAAATTAACATAATGTCGACCCAGTGAATTTGTTACAGGCCATAAAAAAATCAGCACATTTTTCTTTCACTTACAGGGCAAATGCAAAATTTTCATTTGCCCGAAATGATAAAATTACTTAGAAACCTTAGAATTTTATAATAATAATAATAATAATAATAATAATAATAATAAAACGAGTCATAGTAATAACAACAATATTCAGTAAGGACGCGTAAAAGACAAAACCCATCAATGGAAGAAATCCAAACGAGATCAATTAAGTCGTCCCCGAAACGTTGACATAGCCACCAGATTTATACATCAAATATAATTTTTATGTTGCAAAACTAAATATTATTGGAGTGGCTCGCTAAATTTTGGTATAATGACTAGGAAATATTTGACTCACGACGCTATGTGTAGGAAATGTGATTGTGATTTCTCGTTTGTTTCCTGAATTGACATAAGTAAAGTTACTGTTTTCGTTCTTCGGACTTGTGTAATCGCCAGCACTCAGCGGAGCCGTTGTCATGTACTGAGAGCTGTGCTTGGAATGGATAGGATGGAATTCCTCGTGGTCGAAAGAGTCTGTCGGCATCAATGAAAGAAATTTAAAATATCTTCACAGGGATTATCTCGCTTTCTCGTAGCGACTTTCAACCCTTCCTGGCTCTGGAAGCAATGTTCAACACTCCTTGCCTTACAGCGCTCATAGGAGAGAAGAGTAAGACAAAAAGAGACAGTACCTTCATATTGTTTAGGTTTACAATAATAATTCCAGCGTTTTCATGATTAGTGCTGGGAGAAAAAAGGTAAATAATTACGCAAAAAGTATCGTCAATGTTCAATACCAAAAATCAGCATCATAACTTCAAATAAGCAAAAACGTCAAGTTACAATCTCATAAAACATCTGCAGAGGTAGAGTGAATAAATTACTATTGTCAAACGCCTTAAAATCGTAACAATAATTATGATAAAAAGGCATTTTCCCAAACTCCTTGGCTCTACTAATTATATATGCAAGAGGAGTAATGTTTTGGTCAACAGAGGCTCTTCTTATTCTGCTGGTGTCTGAAGCGCGATTTTCGAACTATCTCCTTTATCTTTTCTCCGTAACACAGCGAATCGCAGAATAAGTAGCACCGAAGCGATTGTTAGTGCAGCGCGGCCCTCCGCCCACACAAGGATGGGCAATAAGGATGGGGACAGGAGTGAGGCGATAAACAGAGCGAGGTGATGCCCCGAGCACTGTTCGGGTGAAATGTCCTGAATCCAACTCGTTGGACAGGCCTGTGTCAGATATTCCTGCAAACTGTAGAAACTGAAACAGAAAATTCCTATTATTCCAATGACTAGAATCGACTGGAAATTTCTGGAAATTAGATTAATTATCAAAGTTAGGTTAAAAATCATATCCATAATTCATACTGTGATTACACATTTATCCGTACAATTTATGTAAACAACATATATCAAGAGGTTATATATATATATATATATATATATATATATATATA